TTGAGACAGAGTCTCCCTGTAGCCCCAGCTGGCCTGGAACTCACTATGTAGACCAGGCTGGCCTTGAACTCAAACAGATCCATCTAGCTCTACCTCCCAAGTGCTAGCCCTAAAGGCATGCGCCACCACACCCAATGACAAAATATTTTTATGATCACTTTAGTATCATTCTACTAATGTTTATCAATGTATCTTTGACTAAATTTAAGGTAATATAAATATGCATCTCTATGCAGTCTATATGTGTCAATATTGCAAGTGCTAACTTTTTATTTTTTTGCCTTTCTAAAAATAAGCCACACATTTCTGGCAAGCATTCTACCACTGATCTACACCAACAGATTTAATACCACTTTCCAAAACATTTAGCAATATTTTTCTCTGAATATAAAAGTATAAATTCCAAACCTTATATTGGGAATGGTTTCTGTCCATAAATGATCGATGCACAGTTCAGGAACAATTGGCTCTGTTTCTGGTGCCAGAAATGAGCCATTTGAATTGCTACTTGGAGAATGAGATATACTGTGTCTCTTTGGAGATTGATTATGGCTGGAAAGGTTGAATCTTTGCACCCCTGAAAAAGAGTGCACGCCTAAGGCAGGAGAATGAGCACGACTGCAAGACAACCAAAGAGAGGGCAGGGTGTCACTGTGAGCAAATCAGAGGTACAGAACACATCTCAAATGCAGAAAAAGCACTCATGGTATGAGCCCTTCCAGAAATAAACAGTTTTAGAAATAGCTAAGTGGTTCATCTTAATGTGCTTTATTAAAGTCTAAAGCTTTAGAATTCTTGTTAAAATGCACTCATTTAGAACTGAAAATGAGTTCAGTTTATCCTCAGAAAAAAAACTGTTCACATTATTCAAAAAGGTCTACATACTGTTCCTATATGCTCAGACATACAAACCATCAAATCTATATCCATACAGCATCATACACATTGCATTATGTGTCAATAAAAACAGATCAGGAGGCATAGATACATTATCAATCACTGAAACAAAACAAAACAAAAAAAATTAACATGAATTAAGATTTAAATTTTTCTTTCTTTTTTTTGGGCCTTTTTGAGACAGGGTCTCTCTGTAGCCCCAGGTGGCCTGAACTTGCTATATAGTAGACCAGGTTGACCTTGAACTCACAGAGATTCACCTGCCTCTGCCTCCCAAATGCTAGGATTAAGGGCGTGTGCCACCACGCCCAGCTATATTTTTTATTTTATGTGTATGCATGTATATTGCCTGCATGTAGGTAGGTGCACCCGTGTCATGAAATGCCCATGATCAGAAGAGGGCGTCAGATTCCCCTGGAACTGGGTTTACAGACAGTTTTTAGACGCCATGTGGGTGCTAGGAATCAAACCTGGGTCCTCTGTAAGAGCAGCCAGTGCTCTTAACCACTGAGCCATCTCTCCAGTCCCATGAATTAAAATTAAAAAACAATAACAAAAAAACCTACCAGCCGGACATGGTGGCATTCACCTTTAATCCCAGCACTCAGGAGGCAGAGGCAGGTGGATCTCTGTGAGTCTGAGGCAACCTGGTCTACATGAGTTCCAGGCCAGCTAGAACCACAACAGTGAGACACTGTCTCAAAAACAAACTAACAAAAAAAACCTACCAAAATATTTCTGAAACTAATGTTCTTCAAAGTTCTGCCACAGAATAGTAAACAAAACAAGCTCACAAGAGCAAGTAGCTTCTAAGTGTGGGTCACAAAGGAAAATGACACAACAGACTTAGAAGTCTTAGTAAAAGTAGCAACAATTGGCTTTAAGTCTATTTTCCCCTAAAAATTGCCCAAGCATTATCAATAGAAACCTTAAATCCCTCAAAGGATAAGAAAAAGTCAGGAAATCAGTTATCTTGTTTAAAGCAAAGAAAGATGTCCACCTTAGAGCTGCCATGTTGGAGATAGAAGGTGACCGAGAGTGCAGACTGGGTGACGAGGTTGAGCGGCTCTGGCTGTGGATGGAGGAGTAATTCTGGAAAGGGGAAGCCACAGGGGAATCGCCTTTGGAGAGACTTCTGAGATGTGCTGTGAGGGAGCTGCTAGTGGCTGCATTCTGTGGAGTCCCTGCCTGTTCAGAGAACTTTAAAACAGCATTCTCTTCCTTAAAAATTAATGGGAAAAATAAGAAATGATTAAAATTTCCTGGTGAGAATGCAAAGGAGAAGCCAGTTATTAAAAATACAGTATTTCGGGCTGGACAGATGGCTCAGCGGTTAAGAACACTAGTTGTTCTTGCAGAAGACCCGGGTTGGAATCCCAGCACCCACATGGCAGCTAACAACTGTCTGTAACTCCAGTTTCAGGGGATCCAACAGCCTCTTCTGTCCTCCGTGGGCACTAGACGACACGGGTGCACTTACCTACGTGGCAATACACTCATACACATAAAATAAAAATAAAAAAATAAAAATACAGTATTTCTTTTTTAACTTAGGAAACTCATTTATCTCCTAAATGATTCATCCACACAAACATGTGAAAGCGTCCAGGATTAGATCTTCTGTAACAAGAGTTGCTTTATCCTCACCTCTGGTTTGACTCTCCGGAGAGTCCACACAGAATGCACATTCTGAATAGCATCATAGGTCATCACAATGGAGGGGTTGATGTGGAGGAACACAATTTTCATTGCAGGATCTACCACATACTGCACCCGTGATGAACCAAAAAGACCTAAAAACCAAAATGGAAATTATTAGGTATGGAACAATAGGTTTAACAAGGCTGATCTTTATGAATTAAGTTTGTAACATTCCTAAAGGTAAACAGAAACATAATTAAAGCACAAAATCCATGAAATATGTAATTGACCACAAATTTTACATTTACTTTGGGTAGCAACTTCCTTAAAATGCATTAAAGATGACAGCATTACTGATTTCAATCCAACATATACACAACTTGAATGCCAAAGATTTGTGCTGTCTCGACATTAAATTCATCTACCAGAGGTACAGTACAGTCCAGGACTCCTTCAACAACCAACTTATTTAGAAATTGTACTCAATGAGCAAGGTCAGGCTTGCTTATTGGTTCTATTCTGTCCTCTGTAACAACTAAGCAAGAAGTGCTGAACAGTGTACTTTTATATGTGCTTTTATACATGAAAAATAAGATTTTCCTATTGAGTTCAAGTTTCTTCTATAATACCATGGAATCATTTCCATAGCCTTACTTGACAGTTCCCTTGTCAGTTTCAATACTGGAAAATAAGGAGCTGGAGAGATGGCTAAGCAATTAAGAGCACTTACTGCTCTATTCTTTCAGAGGATGTCAATTCAGGTCCCAGTACCCACATAGTGACTCACAACCATCCTTAACCCCAGTTCCAGGAAACCCATTGCCCTCTTCTGGCTTCCAAGGGAACCAGGCACATATATGGTGCACATACATACATGCAAGCAAAACACTCATACACATAAAATAAAAATAAATCCAAAAAGTAAATAAAAGGCAGTTGATAAGCATTACAAAAACAAGGTCAAGGCTAGATTTAGCCCATGGCTCTAGTGCTCAGGCCACAGGGGCATTTCAGAATGTGTACTTAGGATGCTTAGGATAAAGTCCTATAAATAAAATTACCAAAGAATATAAATACCTTTTTAAGTTTTCAGGTCCTTACTATTTATAATTATCTATCATGTTTTGGTAAAACCTAAAATTTAAAGATAAGCATACAGGAATTCTTGTAGAAATATTGAAAGCACTGAGCCCCAGCAAATTTGAACAAGGAAAGTGAAATACTAAAAATGTATACGGTAAATAGGCCCTGTTCTATTTTTTAAAAAAAAAGAAAGAAAGAAAAGAAAAAAGCTTTAGCTCATTCAAGTATTATTCACTATAATTTATATTCATACTGTTAAGGAACATTAATCTATTGTAAGTTAGTAAACAGCAGTGTTCCTCAATGATTTATATGCCTATTTCTGCTGAGATAATTGTTGTTCTTGCTTTAAATTACTTACTTTCATAATAAAAATTACTTTTTTAACATGCTTAAATTATCTTGTTCTAAGAAAACAAGTCACTTTTTAAATAAACTCCATTTTTTATTTCTCTTTCTCAGGCAATGTAAAAGAATATAAAAATACACTTACTTGCAGATTTATAAACAAGTGGAGTTATTTCATCTAGTGGGTGCAGCATGCTGAACATAGTGGGCAAAGGTTCTCTAGCAATAAACACACATAATTAATCACCAATACAGGATGACTATGTGCATACAGTTTGTACTTTTCTTACAAAGCATCCTCTTGATTACACAAGCAACAGAAATCTGCTGTTACAGTTTGAATATGAAATGAGCGCATATGTTCATGTTTGAACACTTGGCCCCAGGAAGCAGTACTGTTTTGGGGGGCTGTGGAACCTTTGGGGAAACAGGGCCTAAGATTTAGAGCCTAGCCCCCACTTGTGGCTCTTTCTTATGCTTCCTGATCTGCCAAGACATACAGAGCCTCTGCCGCAGAGGCCTCCCAACATGAGCTCTACCATGCCTTTGGATGGGATAACACTAAAACCATGAGGCAACATAAATCCTCCCTCCTTCAAGGTGCTTGTCAAGTATTTTGTAAAAGCAATGAGGAAACTTATCATCTCAAAAAGTAACCTTCTAAACTTTTTAGATGCTGTTTTTCATGCAATCTTCTATTTTATTTCTAAAAACCTCTCTCCTTATAATAGTGCTACAGACACACATATAGAAGGAAGATAGCAAACACCAGGGGGCATCTGGAAACAGCAGCAATCACACAACAGAACCCAGAGAACAATGGGCATGAGGCAGTCTTTTATTTATCTCTATGGTGGTGTATCTATGGTAGCTAAGATATTTTATGTCTTGCATCTGTTTATATAGTGATTTTTAAAAGGAAGAGGAAAAACACGTCATATAAGTCTGAAATTTTTAAAAAGTTAAAGAGGAAGAAAACAACTGGCTTTCTATGAAAACACAAAGATTAAAATCTGAAAGCAACTCTAAAAGGTAGCAAGTATCTACCTTTCAATGAGCTCACAATTTGTAATAAGCACACCATCAGTAAGCATCTACCAATTACAGCACTCAATACATAGTGGACCCTGTGCTCATGTCTATGTTTACTTGCTTAATCTTTGCATAAATCAGATCCCCAGGGGTAACTGATAATATTCCTGTAACAAAAAAGGAAACGAAAACTAAGAAAGCACTAATGATTTGTTCAAAATGGTACAATGAAAAGACAGCAGGTCTGAGAACTGAGTCCTGTCATCATCAAGCTATTATTCAATTTTACTAAGGGGGAGGCGGAGCAGGGAAATTAGGTGCCAAGTACAGCTCAAAAGTGAGAGCAAACAAACATGAAAAAAAAAAAAATGTGTGCTTCTTTGCTGTTAACACGGAAATGATCAAAATCACAAACTTTGGATTAACAATTGTATTTCTGAATCAATACTAAAAAGGCCCCAAAATAATATTCTGAACAAAATAAAATGAATACCTAGGTAGACCTGGAGGTACTTCATGTGAAGAACTGCTTCGCTCAAAAAGCAAACCATATTTAGTGGCCCAAACATTCGCAACCTGTCAACAAGAGAGTGGAGAAAAAAACAAAAGAAGCCACACATGAGGAAAAAAGTTTCAGGAAATATAACAAAATGCTAGATTTTCTTCCAATTTAATGAGAGCTTTCACAGTAATATGATCACTAACTATCATACTTGGAAATGCATTACTCTAACAAGCAACTCCCAGATAAAATCAAACCTACAGAAGACTTGTTAGTGTGAAGTTCCTGTCAGCAGACTGGCAACATCAGCAGAAAATGAGAATGTGACAAAAGGTTAACAACCAGCACAGCCATAAGGAACCAGACACATGCCATATTTAGAACCAAAATGAGTCCTCAAATATCATTAAAACTGACATCAGATACTTCACAATTTACTTCACTCAAAAAAATTTTTGTGGATAGAAAAAAATGATAAACTACTAAAGCTACTGAAATTTTGGTATTTGATCAAAAAATAATTTTACCATTATTATGTTTTAGACAGTATCTCCCTATAGCCCCAGCTGGCCTGGCACTCTCTATGCAGATCAGGCTGGCCTCAATCTCATAGAGCTCCGCCTGCCTGTGCCTCTTCAGTGTTGGGATTAAAGGTATGTGCTACCAGGCCTGGCCTTTTTTTTAAAGTAATATTCTTGATATAAAAGACCCACATAAAAATTATCCTTGAAATCAGTTAAGAATGTTCTCTATGGGCTGAAGAGATGGCTCAGAGGTTAAGAAAACTGTTCTTGCAGAAGACCTGGGTTCGAATCCCAGCACCCACATGGCAGCCAACAACTGCCTGTAACTCCAGTTCCGGGGATCCGACAACCTCTTCTGTCTTCTGTGGCACTGCACGACACGGGTGCATTTACCTACATGCAGGCATAACACTCATACACATAAAATAAAAATAATAAAATATTTAAAAAAAAGAATATTCTCTAACAAAACACACACCAAAAAAAAAAAAAAAAACCCTTAACTGAAGTTTACCTGAAATGGTAAGGATGCTATATAATCCTTTCCATCTATACTATGCATGTTAATACACGAGCTTTGTAAGATGCATATGCATTTCTCTACTTCATGGCTACCTGAAAAGAAAGGGCACAAAAAGATTTATGGGTACTTTTTCCCCCTATTAAGTTCAATTCTAACAGCAAAAATTCTTCAATACCTAATGCAAAAATAAACCATTGTCACTAAGGGTAACTTATGAATTAAAAACAAAGTAAAATAAACATTTGGAATCACGAGAAATACAATTTCATAAAGAAAGCTTACCATAGGTTCTTTCAGACTTATCCTGTGATATAATGAAGTCACACCACAGTGCCTAAGAGCAAAACAAAATGCTTACCTAAGAAATTTGATTAAAGCAGTAACCCACTGCCTAATGGCATCTAAACAATGCCATTTACATAAGACCTCTCTCCTCCAGTCAATACATAATAAAACTAGACTACTAAATGCTAGATGCAGTGAAAGAATGTCTGTTTACAATTAAATTTTATGAGAAGAGAAAGGAAGATAAAAATCCAAACACCTGCCAGGCATGGTGGCGCATACCTTTAGTACCAGCTCTTGGGAAGGACAGGCAGGCCGTAAGATCAAGGCCAGCCTGGTCTCCACAGCAAATTCCAAGCCAGCTGGGGTTACTAGGAAGACCCTATCTCACAAACACACAAAAGGGGGGCTTGGAGAGATGTCCTAGCGGTTAAGAGCATTGGATGCTCTTCAGAGGACCCATATTTAGTTCCTATCATCCACACGGTGGCTAACAACCACCCTTAACTCCAGTTTCAGGGGATCCAACATCCTCTTCGGGCCTCCATGGGCACTGCAAGCACATGGCGCACTTATACACATATAGTCAAAACATTCATAAACAGGGCTGGAGAGATGGCTCAGCAGTTAAGAGCACTGGTTGCTCTTGCAGAGGACCAGGGTTCAATTTCCAGCACCCACATGGTGACTAACAACCATAACTCCAGTTTCAGGAGACTCAACACTAGTCTACTGACCTCTGTGGGCATTGCACTACATGCGTACACTTACATACATGCAGTAATATACTCATACATAAAATGAAAATAAAATGTTTTTTTAATTCATAAACATAAATTTAAAAAATTTTTAACCAAAAAAATTGAATTAAGATCCAAATACCTACTAGATAGATCTTGCAATTAAAATTCACCCTAAAGCTAACCTGCACCCACATGACATACACATAAATAAAATCTTAAATATATATAAATACATATTTAGAAAACACCTTCTTTCATTAATGCTACTGAACCATACTTAAAAACGATTAAAATTTTATGTTTGGGTGTATATATTCTGCCACAATTTTTTAATTCACTAAAAATACCACTACATAGTTTTATTTTGTTTTTTTCTTTATTTTGAAACAGAGTCTCCTTGTGGCTCCAGGTGGCCTGGAACTTGCTATGCAGACCAGGCTGACCAATTTTTCAGAGAGACACCTGCCTATGCCTTCCAAGTGCTGGGATTAAAGGTGTGTACCACCACTCCTGGCAAATAATAAATTTTTAAAATTTGGGGCTGGAAAGATGGTTTAGTGGTTAAGAGCACACTGGAAGATACAAAATGATCTACTTCTCCATTCGTTGTACGTTTATGGGTTGGTATTCTTCATCAATGGAGATGAAACCCATAATTTCCTAAAACATAACAACTGCTTAGCATCTTTATCAATTTTTAGAAGTTAGTTCCAACAAATCCTGCAGTAGTAGCAAAGTAGATTATTTTCCTTTCACTATAAATCCAACAAGTTTAATTTATTCAGTATCTGGAAACGAATTCTAACAATCATTCCAGCACTCAGGAGGCAGAGGCAGAAGGGATCACAAGTGCCAGGCCAGCCTCGGCTACATATGGAAATCTTGGTTTTTGTTGTTGTTGTTGTTGTTTGTCTTTTTGAGACAGGGTCTCCGTGCAGCCCCAGCTGGCCTGGAACTCACTATGGAGACCAGGCTGGCCTTGAACTCACAGAGATCCGCCTGCTGGGACTAAAGGTGTGCACCACCACGCCGAGTGGAAATCCTGTTTTAAAAAACAGGAACATGACACATAAAATAAAAACCCTGACTTTATATCCATACACAGGTGCCAAGGATCCAAGTGCAACCAACCATGACTAGTAATAATCAGACATATACAGATTAGAGACGCATGTGCCAACATCTCAGTGTTTTAGCAAAAACAATGAGTCTTTCTGTAAGAAAGAGTATATTTTAAAATGAAATGGAGATCTTTTTTAAAGGTTAAAAACTCATTCAATTTTATGTCTTACAGGGTTTATACTGAGTTCAGTATTGTGTAACTGTATTAATTCAACTGTGAACCTAAAAATTTTATAGCCACTTTTGAAAGAGATGTATCTTTGCCCTGGAAATTGTTATTATGTTAAAGCTGTAATGAAATGCTTCTTCTAAAAAATAAAAATAAATAAAAATAAATAAACCCCTTTTTCTCCAGTCCTATCTTCACTGCATGCTAAAATGTACATCAAGTAGGAAGAATTACTATACTGCTTTTAGCATTCTGTTGGGATTCTAAAGCACAGGAAATGTTAACATTCAAGTTAACTCACCTGTTGAACAGCAGTGTCAACTGTGAATGCTTTATATACTGCCAAGGCCTGGCTTTTACTTCCTTTGCTCCAGATCACCATATTCCCGGCCACATAGAGCTCTTCATCGTAGTCGGCTTCTTCTCCAATCTCACTCACACCTTTCCTTAACTGCCAGCTTTCCTTAAAAACCAACACACACAAGACATGCTCAAACACATTTTTTCCCCTTTTTCAATAGTCTGGAGCAAGATTTATTCACTGAGTAAAGCCTCAATCTGAGTCTAACTCCAAAGAGGATTTGGGTGCACTGATTAACAAAATGGATGTATTAAGTGGATGTAATATTACATATTAGGATTTTCAGACACAAGAATTCACTCAAGAATTCTCTGTATTCTGTATAATGTGTTATATATATATATATATACATATATATATGTGTGTGTGTGTGTATCTATCATACAGAGGTCACAAAATTAAATTACATGCCTGGGAAACTAAAAGCAGGTATTAAATGTATGTAGAAGGCAGATAGGAAACAGTTGAAGGAATCAATGAGGACCTGGTGCAGTGTAGACCTCCCTGTCCACAGTCACACACACATTCATCTTCTTTTCCTGTCCTATCCATTAGATGAATGGAAGAAAGTTTCTGATTTCTAACTATGCGCATTCCATGAGAGTGTGTCTCAAAGGCATATAAACTGAGTAAGGCAGGAAGTGACTGAGGTGAAGCTCAGTGGTAGTATTTGCCTAGCACAAGCAAGACCTTGGTTTGCCCCCCAGCACTACAGAAAAAAAAAAAAAAAAAATTAAGGTAGGAACTGATTTTTTTTCTGACATATACTTAGACTTCATCTCCATAATTTAGAACTACTATTCTGCCAAACAGGGTGGCACACGCCTACAATCCCAGTACTCAGAAGGCTAAAGCAAGGAGATTACAAATTCAAGGTCAGTCTGGGCTACTTAGTGAGGTTCCACCTCAACAGAAAAAGGAAAAAAAAGTACTACCACTCTAACAGTCTAATATGACAGCTCAGCCTTCTTCCAGAAACTTGTGCTGCAGCAGGGACCATTTCTAATGTCTATCATTTAGCCATCAGAGTTATGAAATCTGATACCCATATATGCAGTAAAGATAGAGGTTTAAATGAACATGGTAGTACTCAACTCTCATCATAAAATTATAAGTTACAAAGCATGTCTAAGTAAGCAACTAATACATTGTAATACTAGTCATCCTTTTAGCATTGATTTGAAACCACCAAAGCTTAACTTTTAAACTCAAAGTGCCCGCTTATCAACACTTCCCAGATGTATTTCAGTAGCTTTAAATTACAAGTAGACTATTCGCTCTATGTTTCAAAAATATGATGAGAATCTTAAGAGAACCTTCTGTTTCTCGTGAATTGTAACTTCCTGAAGGGATCCCACCAAGCCAGCAGCACCATCGGAAGACCATAATTCAGAGGCAGGCTGCAGCTGGCGAAGCTGAAGGTTCAAAGCATTAGGGTGGTTCTTGCAGTGGTCTCGACCAAAAGGAACAAATTCCTGCAAATCCCCGGCTGCAATCATTGTTGCCCTTTCTTCAGAGAAGTTCGACATGGGTTCCAAATATCAACATTATTTCTGTACAAATTCAAACACTTTGGTGAGCCTCTAATCAAAACCAGATTACTTCAAAGCTGTAGATAGAGCTGTGGTATATGTACACCACTCCACCTCACAAACATTTCTACATATAGTAAATGACAACTTAAAAGTTCTAACATTATGTAACATTAGGTGCAGGTTGTTCTTAGACAAAACATCTACAATAAAAATGGGTTTCATAGCAACATTTAAATTACAATCCTTAAGCTACAATCAGAGTATTTGACATTAGCACTATTACCAAACTTTAGAGTGTTTGGAACAACACTCAAGATTAGCATCTAAATTTGACTAGGATCTCTTAACTGAGGTCTTTCTGGCATGTTTTCTTTGCTGCACAAACTGTTCAAAGCCTCTGTAGTTTCAACGCAGCACCTCTAGAACTGCAAGTTATTCTGCTGTGAATCCAATGCTAGCTACCGCTGAGATAATGATGCCACCCCCAAAAGGCATGTTTCTTTTGCATCTGCTAGTAATGAGGACAGCTGAATTCGAAATAGAACCACAAATATCTTGTAAAGCTATGAAATTCAAAACTGACTTGGCCTTTCCTATTCTATTCAACTAACCAAAATTAAAGAACATGCAATTGTATCAAACTTCAGTTGTGCAATTTTGTAGTGTTATTTTTTAAAAAGTACTTTCTCGTTTATGTGTGTGAGTGTATTGCCTGCGTGTATGTAAGTGCACCAGTGTCATGCAGCACCTTGGGAGGTCAGAAGAGAGCATCGGATATCCTGAAGTGGAGTTACGGATGGTTGTTAGCTGCCATGTGGGTGCTGAAAATCGAACCCAGAGCCTCTGCAAGAGCAGCCAGTGCTCTTAACTGCTGAGACATCTCCCCAGCCCCGTGTCATTCTCTTCTAACTTGAAAGAAATCTACAGATTAATTATAGCACTATTTTTACAGTACGACGTCTTTTACCTCGAAGGCATCACAATACTTTAACAGTTCTGGCCGTTTATAGACCTGTTCGGTATTAAGGGCCACATAAAATAACATGCTATAAAGAAAACTGTCAGCACCGTTTACTGAGAACAAAAACTACCTTGCTTGAAAGAGGAAACCTATACACATGCACACCGAGGGACCCTGAGTTGTGAAAATACAAAAGGGCAGAGCTTCCCACGCTTTTCAGAAAACCCACTCTGAGGGGAAGAGAGGCCAATCTAGATGCTGAGGCCGCAAAGGGAACCGCGCACGAGACGCAGGGCGCGTGGGGCTCACCCGGAAAGCCGGGTCGGCATGCGGGGAGTCCCTCACCCCGGCGCGCGCAGGGCCGACAAGGGCGCCAGGCGGTAGGTGCGAGTAGGCCTACGCACAGATCCTGACGCCCGAGGCCCCAGGCGCCGCCGGCCTGGCCCGCACCTGTGTAACTCGGGACGCGTCAGGCGCGGCGAGCCCCGGCTGCTCTCCGGAGGCGCAAGGGCCGAGGAGGCCCGAAGACGACGGCGGCTGCAAGTCGGTCACGATGACTCTTGGGCTGCCACGGCTTTTCATCCCCTCTCCCGCCCTTACGCCGGAGGAAGAACAGGAGGCAACCGGGTGTCAACGACCAGCAGGCATGGGAGGCGCTCAAATGAAAGCGTCCATCTTAAATTTCCCGTCGTGCCTCGCGCCAGGGCGGGGGCATCGCGGGGAGGCCCGGCAGTGGAGAGGTGCTGCGCCTGCGCAGTTGAAGTAGGCCTGTGCTTGGCCGTCCCTGCTGTGAAGTCACTGTTCTGGCAGCTCTTTCTTGATCGTGTCCCTAGGAGTCTGAACTGCTGCCCAACTTTCAGTTAGGTGGCTCTCTATCTGCTCCCGCTTCCTCCTCACCCCAAAAGGAAGCATGTGCCTCCAGACTGAGGAGTAGGAGAGCAAGGGTGGCTGCTGATTCTTGCTGAGGAATGCTAGGAAGGTGCTCTACCACTAAACCACACCACCCCTCAGCTCAAAAACACATTCTTGAGCTCTCATCTCAATTGCTTGATATCTTTGAGTTCAAACAACTCATAGGGTCTCTCACTGCATAAGATTGAAATTCTAGTTCTTTGCCCAGAAACGTACCGTTGACTGGGATTTCATGCCTTCACTGATTCTATACAGCCCGTACTTGGCCCATAGATGGCGGTGATATCTTGGTTCATTCTTTTCTTGGGATATCATCCTTCAGAGTTTACATCAACCCTGTCCCCCTCTTCACTCCAACTGGAACAGGCTGCACATCAACAGGAAAGAGCCTCTCCTAGAACTTTCTGAGTAGACTACTCATCTACCTGAAATTCAAATAGCTTCAGAATTCCCTGGCCTGAGTATTCAAAAGCAGTCAAATGAACAATCATATCCTCTGCTCTGATCCTTTATTCCTCTCACAAAACCCCACCATCCTACAAAGATCTTTTTTACCTCCAACAGGACTTTCCAGAAGAGCCTGCATCAGGGCATGCCTCAGTCGCCTCTCAGAATCTCTCATTCCTATCACTGTCCATTCCCCCTTCCTCTTGTCCCAGCTCAGTCCCTTGGCCCGATCAAGTCACGTGCAGTAGAAGGGTACTCTTTCCCAACTCCCAAGGTGCTCTATGCAACCAGACCATTGTCCCACTCCAAGACTGTGGCATCTTCGACTGCCAGACTCAAAATGTCTCCCTGAGGGATATGGGAACTGGCTTCTGAAGAGGCCATATATAGAAAGCCAAAACAGTAGGTACAGTAGGAGAAAACTGGTCAATAGAAACAAGACAGGAGCCAGAATCATAAATTATCTTTTCTTCTTCTTTCTATTGACTAGAGTTTTTTGTTTTTGTTTTTGGTCTGCACAGCTTGTTGGAGATGTACTGTATGACTGAATGGACACATCAAACAGTCTGCTGAATTTGGAGCATTCAGTTGTAAAGCAATGACCAGGACTATATTTTTCTCATCATCTGTCCCTACCTTTTTCCTCTTTCCTTCATCCTCTGTCTGTGGCTAAAGGTCAGCACTCTTCGTTCTTGCCGCCAACCTACTTTTTAAGTAACCCCAGGAAGCACAGTCTACACTGCTAACTGTCCAAGGTAGAAGTAGAGCCACTATCAGCTCTCACTCCTGGGCATTCCCTTCTCTGTTCAAAGATTCTCCCTCTTGCTCACTCGCTTGCTCTTTTTTGGGGGGTCTTTTTGAGACAGGGTCTCCCTGTAGCCCGAGCTGGCCTTGAACTCACAGAGATCCACCTGCCTCTGCCTCCAGAGTGCTGGGACTAAAGGCGTGCACCATCATGCCCGGCTTTCAAAGAAATCTGTTAAGGTGCCTCTGTAGCTTCAGCCTTTGGGGACACCAAGGCCTACATGCACAGCTCCCCTCCAATATACCCAAAGACTCTCAGTCCTCCTGGTACCAGAGCAATGCTGCATTTCCTACAGAGTGGAAACCAGACCCTGTGCCCTCTGTTACATTCCAGTGTCATCAGTGATGCTGCCTAGACTCACGACATGACAAACCCCCTTGAGAAAGTGCATCCCTCTGTTTCTGTCACAATCTACTCTGTCCATAGGGGTTCAGACCACAAATTTGGGAGTTTGAGAGGACAAGGAGCCCTGCATATCACCATCATCCCTGCCCCCCTCCCAGCCCTCTCTGCTGGCATTTGAGTACAAGCTTGGCTGAGAATACAAAATCCCTTGTACAGATTCCTGCAGGTCATCAGTTCACTACATGACTGCTTTGTCCTCCAAACAAGCACAAACTTCCCTAGGGGACCCTGAGATTTATTTTTGGAAATAAACATACCCAATAATAGACTATAGACTTCTTGATTCTCTGCCAGCCCCAGAAAAAGAAAATGTGCAGAAAATTGAATAAATAAAATCCTTGGTTTTTTATCCCTTTTAACCTGGCAAAATATACGTCTTTGCATTCATAACTATTGTTGCTTAATATTGCCACAAACTTTGAAACTCAGAATAACAGATGTTGTGTCATAATTGTTTGTTTGTTGAGATAGGGTCTCACCATGCAGCCCTGGATGGCCTGGAACTTGCTATGTAGACTAGGCTGGCCTCAAACTCACAGAGATCTACCTGCCTCTGCCTCCCTAGTGCTGGAGATGGAAGGTGTTGCCACCACTCGTGGCTATGATCCAGCTGTGTCATAATTTCTATGGACCAGAAGTCTGGGCAAGATGTATATTGATCCCTTGCTTTTCACCTCACACGACTGCAGTCAATGTGGTTGTCTCCGGTTGTGATCTCAAATGATTCTCCTCTAGAAAACCTACTTTTGAGCTCACTCAAAATTTGATATTTTTGTGATTATAAGACATGGGGCTGGGCATGGTGGCACACGCTTTTAATCCCAGAACTTGGGAGGCAAGAGGCACCAGGATCTCTGTGAGTTTGAGGCCAGTCTGTCTATATAGTGAGTTCCAGGCCAGCTGGGGCTAAAGGGAGACCCTGTCCCAAAAAGACAAGAAAAAAAAAAAAAAAACAAAAAAAAAAAAAAAAAAAAAAACCAGACATGAGTACTAGGAACTGAACTTGGGTCCTCTGAAAGAGCAGAAGTGCTCTTAACTTGTACCATTTCTCTAGCCCCTAGTAGCAGCGCCTTTACACACAACACATACACATACACACAAACACACATGCAAGCACACATACTTTCTCTCTCACTTTTTTTTTTCCATAATAGGGCTCCTAGTGACAAGCAAATAAGACGAACATCATAGAGAATTCCAAGAGGTAAAAAGTACCCACAACAGGGACTGGAGAGATGACTCAGGGCTTAAGAGCACTGGCTGCTCTTCCAGAGGGACCTGAGTTTGATTCCCAGCAGTGACACAGCAGATAACAACCATCCATAATTCCATTTCTAGGGGATCTGGTTCCTTCTTCTGGCCTCTGCAGGCATAGCACTTACATACATGCAAGGAAAACACTCATGCGCATAAAATTTTAAAAAATATTTTATCATTTTTATTTTATGTGTATGAGTGTATTCCCTGCATATAAGTGCACCTATGTTGTGCAATGCCTGTAGAGGTCCAAAGAGAGCATCAGATCCCCTGGAACTGAAGTTAGCCATCATGTGGGTGCTGGAATTCAAACCTAGGTCCTCTGCAAGAGCAGCTAGTGCTCTTAACTGCTGAGCCATCTCTCCAGCCTGATACACAAAAGTTTTCTTTTTAAAGTACCAACAACAATAAAAAATTACTATCAAGTTTTGTTGTCGTGTGAGGCTTACCAGATAGCTAACCATTCCCAAGAAGTTACAAGAGCCAGACCTCTAAATTCAGTATATAATTCAGAAAACAGAATCTCTTATATCATCTCCATTCCCTCTAACAAACTGTAAGAAGAAATTTTATTTCCAAGATGATTTTGGCAAGTAGGATGGAATCTTTTTGTGTGGACCATCTCTTCTCCTAAAATGGTAGATTTTTTTTCGCCCACAAAGCAGTCAACTTGTATTTTATCCAGAAAGTTCAGCAGAGTTGCCTACTAGCATCAAGTGCAAAGTCCTGAAAAATTATAGCTTCAGTTTCCTGATAAGCTACAAAAGCTAGACTTTGGTGCCTCTGCATATTTGTCAGCCTGCTGGATGGAGTCCCCCACATTCATCATCTCAGTTTCCTCCAATCTTCATTGCCAGACACATGTACTTCCAGTATGTCTTTATGCTAACTTGAGATTCTTCCAGGAACCACTTCAGTGCCCCAGTGAACTCTCATGTCTAGATATCTGCACATCTCACATGTTGCTCAGTAAAGAGTATCTCACCTATACCCTCCCAGGTTTCCAAAGTTGCATGGACTAGACACTCATCCTTTCCCCATGAAGTCTCTTACCTATTTCAATATTTATTTCCCATATATGGTTGACTTGATGATCTGAGGTGCATGCGCACACACAAGTTCCTATGTATGTGGTATGTGGGTGACTAAAGGTGTCATTCTTCAGGTGCCATCCACCTTTTATTTTGAGACAGGTTCTCTCACAGGTACCTAGAGCGCACAGGTAAGCCTAGGTTGGCTGGTCAACCAGGCCCAGGGATCCCCTTGTCTCTGCCTCCCTAGTGCTGGGATTATAACCATGCACCACCATATCTGGCTTTTTACATGAGTGCTGGGGATCAAACTCAAGTCCTTTCACTTGCACAACAAGCACTTTACTATCCCCTCAGACTCCTGATCTGAGACTTTCAAAGATAGTACCTGACATTGCCTTTCCCCCACCACATATTTAAATTCCATGATCTGGATACTAATACTCCAGTCTACTTTTCAGCATATGGTATGAGGTACAATACACACTACAATCATCACACACCAACAGTGACAAGAACTTGGCCATCATCTAGTGTAGGCTTGAGTCTGTTTAATGATGTATCAAATTTCACATTCCATTCTGTAATAAATTGTAAGTGCTAGACAAAGGAACTTCTACTGAGTATTTCAGCTTGGTGAAGGCACACACCACCTCATTTTGTAACAAGCTATAACACTTAGATATTGCATTTCTGAGAATTTCTCTAGTAGGCTAAAAGGACTATCATAAGAGGCATGGTGGTGCATGCCTGTAATTCTAGCACTTGGGAAATGAGGCAGGAGAAGCAGAAGTTCAAGGTCATGCTGAGCACTACATAGTAAGTTTGAAGTTAGCCTCAGCTACATGAGACCCTGCCACAAAAATCTAAATAAATAAGCAAATACATGTTATGTTAAAGTAAAGGATTTTCTTATATCCACAATATCACTTCCCCCAAGAAACTACACATATTAAAAAAAACTATCTTCCATCCATTTTTCTGTATAGTAAGGAGCATCTTTCTATGGTACTATCACATTTCTCGTGGGATAGGGGCTGAATAATTTTATTTCCAGTAAGTTTTCAGCCTAACTGGATGGGTTATTTTGCACGACAGAGAGAAAGAGAAATAATCAACAAAAGAAATGTCTTTGCTCCACTATCATGTTCACTGTTCTGAAAGGAATTTTGTATCATTTCATTTTGTAACAACTACAAAAGCTACTGTGCTGGGAGGATTAATTCTAGGAAGCCTGGAATTAGCCTGAGCTGTTTTTCTAAAGTTCCCTCATGGCACTGACCCCCTGGCCAAGGGCATGAAGCACACTCATTTATATTGTTGTCTTCTAATCATGGTCCTGAGAAGGTTTGGGGAGATTGGTAGCAGCTTGTCAGCATTGTTTATTGAAAACAGTGAAAGGGATGATTTGCACCTGGACTCTGTGATAGAGGCTGATTACACCTTAGGAAAATACGTGTGCAGCCACTAAAACATAAAACCCCAGATGAGCCTCCGTGTTAGCATCTCTGATTTCAAAGTGTTCCATGCACACATCAATGATCCCTGATCCAAAAGAGTGCATGTGACTGCTTCCTTACAAAAGGGAGGACACAAGCCCTGACTGCACCTCTTTACCCCAACAGCCTTTCATTATGGTACACATTCTTTTTTTATTTTAATTTTTTCATTATTATTTTTATTTTACATGTATGAGTGTATTGCCTGCATGTGGGTAAGTGCACCTGTGTCGTGCAATGCCCAGGGAGGTCAGATACCCTGGAACTGGAGTTACCAATGAGTGTTAGATACCATGGGTGTGCTGGGAATCAAACCAGGTTCCTCTGCAAGAGCAGCCAGTGCTCTTAACCTCTGAGCCAGATCTCCAACCCCAGGAATGTCATGATGTATTAAAATACATTCATTCTCACCCAGGCAGGTTTAGTGTAGTCTTGTAATCCCCAATACGGCAAGGCAGAGACAGGAGGCTCACCACAAGTTCGAGGCCAGCCTGGGCTACAGGAGTGAGCTACAGGCCAGTTGTGCTACACAGTGAGACCTTACCTTAAAAAAATAAAAGCTAACAAATAAAAGCACCACCAACAAAAAATACAGTCATGCTAGTTCCTTGAAGATAGCATCATATAGTTGTAAGGTATGAGTTCGTAACAGTCCTTCCTTTTCTGATGTGATTCACTTTTTCTGGGGCTGTTCTCTGGGACCCGTCACTCCGTCCCCTTGCAGCGCTGCTCCCTTCCATCCCTGCTGCTCTGCACTTTTTCATCCTCACCCAACTACCTCTAGTCAGATTGCTTCTCTAAGACTTGTTATGGGATTCCACCCAGTTCCACCCCCAGGAGCCCCTCCGATTGAGGTTGCGAGCTCTTGACGCTAGGGTCCGCTCTTGTGCCTCCTGTCGATATCCCGGAGGTGCTCTGCGAGGAGGAGCGGAATGAGCCCCGACCGCTGCTAAAGTGGCCGCAATCTTGGGGAGCATTGCTGCCAGGCTCTCCCCAGCATGCAAAGCCTGGAATTTGTAAGCACCGCCGACCCAAGGCAGCTGGACCCTCCCCATCCCAATAGGTCTGGGGGCTGCGTTCTGAGACATCTCTCCCTTTCTTTCCCACCCTTCCATGCCCTTCTACCCACCCCTCCAATATGGGGTGCCAAGCTTGCTGGGTGGCTCAGCTCCCCATCCCGCCCTCTCTCAGCAGCCCCACCCCCACCTCCCACCCGGGCCTTAACTGGAGGCCTGCCCCTGCTCTTCACTCCCTCCCTTTCCTTCCCCTCCCGCCCCTCCTCTCCAGCCCTCCTACACCGAATTAACCTGTTGGGGCTGACCAGGGCCCAGACTGGCCTCTCATCCCTTCCCTCCCGCGTCTGGGCTCGGCCCCCGGCCCGCCCCTTCCCGCGCCCTTTTGCGTCTCCCCGGCCTTCGCCAACCTGCTGGAATCCACTGGGCCTCCAGCCCCCGGCCCGCCCCTTCCAGCGGTCTGCGCCGCCGATCCGCCGCTCGGGCTGCCACTCCCGCGCCTGCAGCCCGGGCCGCGGGGACCGTGGATCTGGGCGGGCGGCTCGGCAGCCACCGGGTAAGTTCGGGACGTGCAGCGGTCAGTGCGTCGCTAGAGAACTTTCCAGATCCACGGCCCCGCGATGGGGCAGGCCAGGCTGAGGCTGCTGCTGGGGCTGCTGCTTCCGGCGCTCTGCGGAGGAGGTGAGTGCGGGGTCCGGGATGCCCCACTGCTGAGCAACTTCGCACCACTCCCCTCACGCCCAGAGCCGGCCAGGGCAAGAGGAGCCCGCGAACCCGCGCGTCCACTGACCGCAGCTCTTCCAGCTAGCGGTCAAGGGGTCACCGGGCTCCCAAGCTGAGTCGGGGGGCGTACGTCCTATTGGAGCCGGCACCAATGTGCTCTGCCGGCGCCCGGGTTTGCGGCTCTGCGGGACGCAGGACGCAGGTCGGGTGTGGAATGCGCCAAGAACTCTCCCCTAGACACGGTCTAGTGGCGGGATCGTGGGGTTTCTGCGAGCCACAGACCCGGTCTCTCCAAGAACCTTCGCCGCGCGAAGGAGCTGCAGGAGATTGATGGCGCCGCGGTTCCCTGAGCTCTGTTGAGCGATGCTGACCCTCCTTTGCTGGGACACCCTGTGAGTGGGCAGGCTTGTGGAAAGGGGTGCACTCTCCACACTCCTATTGCTGAAGAACAGAATCTGTGGTGTTTGGAGCGCTTCTAGCTTTATCTCCGCCCTACTTAAGTGTCACAAGCGTCTCAATTCTAGATTGATAAGCATAGACAAGAAAGGCAGGTTCCTCCAGCAGCTTGTTGGAGGGTGACAAAGATTTCAAGGGTGAGCAGACTCTTCTTGAAGAAGCTGGAAAAAAACTCACCAAACTTTAGGAGAAGAAAAGAAACGGAAGCGGTTGGGAGACCACTAAATAAATACATTTCAGGTATTTCCTTCCCTCCAAATATTATGTTTTTATTCAAATTGTGGTTTTGTCTCTTTTGATCTTGAACTTGGTTGACCAAGATTCATCTATTATGCCCAAAGGCGTCTTTTAAGAATATCTGCAGGCTGGAGAGTTGGGTCAGTCTTCCTGAGGCCATGGGTTCTGTTCCTAGCACCCATGTGGTCGGGCTATCAACAGTCTGCTAACTCTAGTTCCAAGGAATCCAATGCCCTCGCCTAGCCCCAACGGGCACTGCATATACATGATACACTTACATGCAGGCAAAACACTCATACACATAAAATAAAAATAATAAAATTAAAAAGGAGTATCTGGAAAGTTCAGTGTATAGCAACATACCTTGCTTTTTAATTTTTATTATTTTTGTTTTATGTGTATGAGTGTTTGTGTGCATGTAAGAAGGTGCACCCATGTCATGCAATGCTGGCAGAGATCAGAAGAGGGCATTGGACCCCCTGGAACTGTAGGTATGGATGGTTTTTAGCCACCATGTGTGTACTGGGAATTGAACCTGGTTCCTCTGGAAGAGCAGCCAGTGCTCTTAACCACTGAGCCATCTCTCCAGCCCCAACAACATACCTTGTTTTTAAAAACTGTGTGTATATGTATGTGTGGGTGGGTATGTGCACATAAGTGTAGGTGCCCTTGGAATTCAGAGGAGAGTCAGATCCCTTGAGGCTGGAGTTTCAGGCAGTTGTGAGTTGCCTGATATGGCTAACAGGAATTGAACTCAGGTGCTCTGCAAAAGCAATACTGACTCTTAATTGCTGAGCCATTTTTCAGCCTTCATACCTCATTTTTCCTTTCAGGTTTTCCTTTGAAAGTTTAGTTGCTGAAATGAAAAATTCTTGAACAAGGCATTTGCTTCTTGCACATTAAATTACGTAAGCAATTTTTAATTTGAGGCAACCTGGTAATTTGAAGCAAACAACTGAGAGCCAAAACCAAGCAAAGAACTGAGGCAGTTCTGTTCTCCACCCCGCCACCAAATCCCCAGAAATTCCTCAGCACTTCTGCCAGGTCCGCTCTTCATAATCGGCTGCAAATCTGCTGTGTTTTGCTGTTCCTGCTGGCTGGCCATACATCGTCTTAGAGGCAGTGAGTGTAGAAAAGCCGGGAAGAGGAATAGGAACAGTAACTTTGTATGCTTTTCGAGTGTATGCTTTGTTTTCTAAATTTTAAAAAAAGCTGTAATAAATTTTGTAATTGACAGATTTAGTCAGATAATCATAGAAAGTTTTTAAATGTACTCATAGGAAAAAATGAAAAGTTTCCAAGTTTTTCCTCTATTTTGTGCTTTTTATCTTTTAAGTTTGCCAGTGAGATATCTGAGTGTTCCAGCTTACCTTGTGAAAATTTTAATTATTTTTATTATTGGTGCTGGGGCTCAATTGCAGGGCCTCACACATGGGAGGTAAGTGTTTTTCAACCAAGCTATACTCCCAACCCCAGGACAGGACTTTCACTGGCAGGATTTGAACAGAACAATGCTAGCAGAAAAATTAAAAAATCAAAATTAGATTCTTTATCTGGTTTTAAGATTTTCATATTGCAGATTGTAGGACTTGGTGCTAAGTTAGCTGACCAAACATGAAAAAGAGACAAAGAATGAATATGAGGAATGGTTAAGTAATTATAATTTAAGAGCTGGGGAAATGACTGTCAGTAAAGTGCTTGTCACACAAGAATGAGGACTTGAATTCAGATCCCTAGCATCCATGTAAAAAGCAGCACACACATTGGTGAGATGGCTCAGTGCCATGGAGCCTGATGACCTAAGTTCAATCCCTGAGACCCACATGGTGGAGCCAACACCCGTAAGTTTTGACCTCCATTCACTCACCATTATATGCATGTGAATCTATAAATAAATAAATAAATAAATAAATAAATAAATAAATAAATAAATAAATATTTTAAAGGTACTTTTGGGCTCATGGCACATGCCTGTAATCCCAGTGTGCAGGAGGCAGGACAGGAGGATCCCTGGGGCTTGCTTTCCAGCCATTATAGCCAAATCTATGAGCTCCAGGTTCAATGAGAGACCCTGTCTCAAAAAATAAGGTAAAGAGGAATAAAGGGAAACTCCCAATGGTAGACCTCTGGCCTCACTGGAGACATGCCTCCATGCACATGTACACACACACACACACACACACACACAAGCAAGCATTTTAGCCCAGTAATTCTCTCCTTTCCACTCTCCCCTGATGCATACACCTTGTCTTCCTCCTTATAAAGATGTGCATATACTGAACAGGACCTGCCCAGCCATGAGAATTTTAGGGTTTTCCAATCTTTCCTTTCTTCTCAGTCCCTGATGGGGGCACCAGTAAGCATCAGAAAAAGGCCCTGGTGGCTCTACGGAGGTTCAGGCAGAGAGATGGACAGGACAGAGTAGGGGAAATTTGAAAGTGAATCAAAGTGAAGCCGGTCTGATGACTCAGCCTGTGTGAACCCTGAGAGCAAATTGAGTTTTGAAAATTATTGAATTCTCTCTCAACTTGATACTGTAAACAGATATTCCCACAATATGATAAAGACTTTCCCAAGGAGAACTCTAAGTAGTCTGTTGCTTATAGGCTTTATTATAATGGCCCCAAATGCTTTTTGGAAGCAAGCAGGGTTTATCTGAATAAATGTATAAACAAATATTTGAAACTTCTTCAAGGTGCTGAGCAGGACATAATTATTTTTAAATTAAAATTATGTTCTTAAATCTTTCTTTTTGAAATAATTTCTAGATAATTCCAAAAGAAGGGCCAATGAATCACAACAGGTTACCAGACAGAAAAGCTAAGTCAGGACCTTGAACACGCACGCTCTAGCTGCTTCCCACACAGCCAAAATGAGATTTTTTTCAAAATGAATCTGATTGTGTTGTCCTCTTGGGAAACATCCTTCAATAGCTTCCCTTTCCTCACTAGATGTCCAGATTTTGTAAAGACTCACAGGCCTTCCCCCTCCCTCTTTGACTCATGCCTAGTCATTTCCCCCTTTTTACTGCTTCTCAGGTCACCTGTGTGTTCTTCCTAGTGCTGGAACAACTTTTGAGGTCACAATTTCTGTGGAATCTCTGAAGATCTCAGTATGCTAGCTCTTGTGCTTTCTTTGGGCTTCAGCTCAGATGTTCTGAGAATACTTCCACCCCAGGCACATTTAACATTTAACCAACCTCCCATGATTTTTAACTACCTAGTGAGGATTAGCAGTGCCTGATTGGTTCCTACTTACTCTTTTCCTTACTGACCTCACTGCCCCTCTCTAAGAAGTAAGCACCTAATGATAGCCATATTGTCCTTTTCATTGTCAGCACCCAACATAATGCATTCATGAGCCCAGTGAGTGTTCATAGATAGGGTGAAAGACTCAAGCTAGGCTGGGCTGGGCATGTGACTTAGTAGCAGAGCCCTGGCCTAGTACTCCAAGTTCGAGCCCCAGCACCTGCAGGTGGCATTAGGCTCTCTTTCCTCCTCTCTCTCTACTGGCTTTTCAAGTAGCTAGGAACTAAACTTGGGTTCTCTGGAAGAACAGCAAGTGCTCTTAACCACTGAGCCATCTTTCCAAGTCTCCAAAGTGGATTTTTTTTTTTTTTTTAAAGCACAGTTTTAGCAGCTCCTTGACTAGGGATGGGTTGCCTTGAGTGCCTTGACTTTGTACCATGGCTGCTAGTTTAATTTTAACTCAAGACACATGGCTCTGGGTTGGTATAAAACTCTATGGAGGAAGTTAGTTATTATGAAATCTGATAAAGAGGATTGATTGTATGTGCTTCTGGGCCAAAACCGTTAACAGGGCTGAACTCTGTGGGCCTTGGGAAAGTGGCTAACTCTCAGAACCTTTGGGTTATTTTTGTACAGTGGGATTCTATATCATAAAACTTGGGAAAATGAAGTGAGCTAATAGCACATTGTAAGTACTCAACAATTGTTGTCACGATTACCAAATGTTCCCCTCTGTACTGCCTACAAATTGGGGTGGGTAATTGTTTTACCTAGACAAAAGTGGAGATTCATTTTTTCTTACTAAATAAAACTTTGAAATATGAGGGCAGAGGTTGGGGGATGTAGCTCAGCTGAGAGCACTGGCAGACGTGATCCACTGGATCCTAACAGTGTGATGGCACACACCTGTAGTCCTAGCACCTGGAGGTAATGATAGGAGAATCTGAAGTTCAAGATCTTCTTTAGCTACATGGAAAGTCTGAGGCCAGCCTGCGTTACCTGAGACCCTGCCTTAAA